GTTACTTGGAGAAATTAAAATGTATTTGATGTTGAACTCTTAGAGCATTCGGAGTCCAAAGTGTTTAAAATGGACATTTTGACTCTTAGAGCATCTTCAATGCTAAAACGTTAACGGTGCATACGTGACATGAGATGGCATGAGAGATGGCCAATCAAAAACAATAAATAAAATATCTCTTTCCTTATATGAATGATCTTATATAATTTTGGTAAGTTTTTCTTCACAATGTCAAGCACAATGTCTAATGTAGACATTGTGATTGACATTGCAAAGAAAAACTTACCAAAAATACATAAGACCCTGGAAAGACGAAGAGAGAAATGTAATAAAATCAATTTTTTGTGTGTATCTCTCTCATGTCACATGTGCACCGTGCACATTGTAGCATTGAAGATGCTCTTAGTTTGATTCATTGTGGACAATGATGGGGGGGGCTAAAAAATGGACACGTATTTGAGGGGCCAAAATGGTTGCAGACTTGTAAAAAAGGATCTGATCGGGTTTAACAACAGCAACCCAATATTCAGGAGATCCCTTTCCTGAACCCATACGTGTTTCTACGGGTTGTACAATAATTGGCCCTTTGTTAGCCGCATTTCCATAAATAAGGCTGCTATTATTTTGTTCGGCTATTAGTCTCAAATAAGATTAAGAGTAGCCTTAAAAGCAATAATAGGCTATAATTCTTTTACTCACAAAATAGGAGTAATATATGTTCTTTCTTCTTGTTCTACACATTTCCTATAATTTCTAATAGATTTTTTATCATCTAATAGATTTATTTCTTAATAAGAAAATCATAGTTTTATTTATAATCAAAATATAAAAATAATAAAAAATATTTATAAATTAATGATAAACACATGAACGAACACAGTGAATTAAAATAAAATAGGCTCTTATTGCTATAATTTTGTTTGTATTTAGTCCTATTAAAAAAAAACTCCCTATTTCATTTTGGTCGTGCGCTCCTTTCCATACACAATAAAATCGTGTTTCGTTAATATGTACTAGCTTTCAAGCTCTAATTTGAATTAGATTTCTTTCAGATCATATGTAATGTGATTTAAAAGAAAAATAAACTTCGTCTAATATAGAGCCTGTTTAATATAATGTGATTTAAAAGAAGTATTCTTTTTAAGATTCTATATTAGAATATCTAATAGTTTTAATTTTGTTTTTTAATTTCAAATAATATAGAGCCTGTTTAATATAATGTGATTTAAAATAAGTATTATTTTTAAGATTCTATATTAGAATATCTAATAGTTTTAATTTCATTTTTTAATTTCAATTATATGGTGGTTATAATTTTTATCATTATTTTAATAATTAAGAAAAAATTGTACGAAGATGGAGGAAAATTCGAAGTGTTAACATAATTGCAAATCTGGGGCTTAGAGTTTTAATCATTATCGCTTTCAAAAAAAGAATTTTAATCATTATCTCAACATTGAGTTTAGAAAAAGAAAATATTACATGTTAGGAAATGGGACACTATTATTACATTTTTTATTTTTATCAAATTACTTCGAAGACAAAATTAATAGCAATTTGGCTAATTTATCTGTTAAGTGGGCAAAAAATGAATACTTCATCTATTTAATAGAATGTAATAAAAAATAAACAATTATAAAATAATTAAATGATTGTTACTCCGTGAGTCCGTGCTTAAAATTTGGTTATTAATTATTGTAGTTCCAATTAAATGATTTAATACTTATCAAATACGTAATAAGTTTTGAAAAAGTTACCAAATTAATTAAGGTAGATTTCTACGGATTTTTGTTTCCATATCAATATGCAATCAAAAATAGAATCTAGCTAATACAAATAGAAGGTATAAAAATAACTAAATAATTAATATATATAATGAAATGGCAGGATTATGTGGCGCTTTGTATGCTCTTAAAAAGTTCCTCTTATATATATATATATATATATATATATATATATATATATATATATATATATATATATATATATATATATATATATATATATATTGATTTCGACATAGCGGCCTCATTGATTAGCTTTTTCTTAAGTACATAATTTTTTATTTTACGTGCTATGTTGTGTATTAATCAATATAAGTAAGGTTAGAGTTATTATTTTGGTCAAATTGACTGAAATTACTTTAAAGGTCTATTTTAGCTATTTTACATATAACTTTTTCTTTTCTTTATTTATAAAATTTATTTTAAATGTAATTTTTTATTATTCAACAGAATCAGACAATCTAACCAATTCACTGAATTTTGTGAAAATAATATACACAGTTTAAAGAACATGTTCACAAAATTTCATCAACAAAATCTATCCAAAAACCCCTCAAAGGGCTTGGCCGGGCAACTATTCCGATCAGTCCGTCGTGATAGAACATCACTCTCATTTGAAAACCCATGTTTTCAACTTATCAAATATCAACCAAATTTTATATCGAACACGAAACTTTTGACAGTGCACGCTAATTGCATAATAATCAAAATCAATAAGGTTAAGTAATTTTTCTGATCGAAATGACAATTTTAGCTTAGAAGACAATTTTAGCTTTTTTTTTACTCCAGGGGCGTCTGGGGGAGGGGTGCTGGGGGAGCCTGGAGTAATCTAGGCTAAAACTCACTCCATTGAGTTTCAAACCCAAGACAATTTTAGCTATTTTCATTTATTTTTCCGTCAATTTCAATCAATTTGGTCAATCTCGGTGTTACCAAACGAGCTCAAAGGGGAGGTGTAGGGATGTGTTGATGGATCTAAACCTAGAGAAATGTTCCTTTGAAAAATATATAAAAGATTGTCTCTAGTTTCTATTTTCTAAATTGGGTAAATTGGATTTTCAAAAAAAAAATGGGTAAATTGGAAAGCAGATGAAGTTAACAGGTTTTTGTTTCTTTTTTTTAATTGAAAGAGTAAACGTGTGTTCTATTATCCGTTACACTGACAAACACAAGAAATCAAGTTAACATTAACGTACTCCAGGACCCTACCCCCACCCTCAATGCAAATTTTAAGTGAAAAGAGTCGAAAAAATATCCAACCATTCAGCTTTTTATAGTAAAACTTGAGACTTGCTTATACAGAACTTTGGGGGTACCCATAAGGCCATTCATGTAATTTCCTAATTTCCATGGTTATGTTTTTGTTTTTAATTAGTTTTGATTGATTGTTGTTTTGTAAATTACACACTTTTGATGTAATGGTTTAATTTGTAAAATATTTGTAATTTGTTTAGATTAGGTTTATTCTGAGCTAAAACAGGTCCATGTTCACTCATAAGACCATTGGTGAACTCAAAAGTGGAAGAAAGGTGCAAGGATACAAGACAAAAAGAAGAATCCTGATTTTTGTGTTGTACCCGGTCAGGTATGACCTATACCCGATCGGGTAGGTTGCTGAAAAATCAAATCGGATCACACCTGAAGACAAAGGAATATGCGGGGAAGATTTTGACCATGTTCGGGTGTCATACCCGATCGGGTAGCTGACACACCCAGTCGGGTATACCCCAGTTTTCCAGCTTTCGAGAAGCTCATAAGGTACCGGATCGGGTATCCTAAAAGCCCGATCGGGTACACAGCCCTGCATGCTCCAAACACCTGTAAATACACTCAACTTCCTTCCCACAAATATCATCAATTCACATATACTTCTTAGCTCAGTTTAGACAAGTATTTCATTTGTATTTTCATCATGTTTAGTCTCCAAATGAGGAGCTAAACTCTTCCATCTTGGTTTTGCTACTTTGAAGCTTAATGAATTGTAAGTTGTGAGTTGTTTTCTTTAATCTTCTTTCTTGAATATTAATTAATCTATCTCTATATTAATGTTGGGGAGTGTTGCTAAGATGACAATTAGTTAACATCTCAACATTAGTTATAGTAACATATACTTTCTTTAATCTTCTTCCTTGAATATTAATTAATTCCTATTCATATTTCATATTAATATTTTGAACATTACTTAAAGGATCAACTAGTTTTGTTTCATCTATTGATTATTACTAGAATCGATCGACGGATACGCTTGTTAATTGTTCGGTCCTTTCACGGTAGTAAACTTGGGTTATCAATACATGCGTTTCATGGTTAATAACCTAAGGGGAATTAATTATATTAATTAAACCGATAAACCGCATGTTTTAAGGTTATCAATCTTAATCATTTTCATCTTGATTTTATTGCTACTATCAGGTTAATATACGGCGCGTAGACCTGGACTCGGGCCGGGCGGCCTGGCCCGGAACCGGCCCGGCCCGGTTACTGTGAGGCCCGGCCCGGCCCGGAGCCCGGTGGGCCCACCGGTTCAGTTCGGCCCGGCCCGGCTGCTGGGCGGTTCGGGCTCGGGCCGAGGTTTTGGCGAACCGGCCCGGCCGGTTCGGGCCCGGTTCGGTCCGATTTTTAATTTTTTTTTTTTTTTTTTTTGAATTTTTTTTAACTTTTGGGTTGGATTAGGTATTTTGGGCCATTTGAGGTGGTTTGGGGTAGTTTGGGGTTGAGGGGGAGGGGTTGGGGGTTAAATAGAAGAGCAAAAAAAAAAAAAAAATCGGTTAGGCCCGGCTCGGTTTGGCCCGGAACCGGAACCGCCCACCGGCGGTTCGGGCCCGGGCCCAACTATCCTGGCCCGAGGCCCGGCCGGGCCCAGGCCCGAACCAGGCCCGAACCGGTCCGAGTCCAGGTCTAACGGCGCGTGTTCTATGTTAACTCGGTAGTAAGTTTTATTAATGAACACGTCTCGTTATTAATAACTACTATCAATGAAATGGATATACTCCTCGATTGAGTATTCGAGAGGAAGATAGTTAAAGATATAACCGGGATTGACGAACATTTCATTAAGTAGATAAAAGCAAAGCCAAGTCTTCATCTCTATTAATTAAACCACATAAATCGTTCATTTTAGTGTTAATTAAATTAAATCAAATCAAACTTAAAAACCCCCTTGTTACTAGTCAATTAAAAAGAGAAATATTCATTTCCTTGTGGATACGAACCTTACTTCAATATACTACATATATTTGTTGTATTGATATTTACTTTGAAGTGCACACCACGACAAAGTGCACGTCACTACACTAATAAGAATACTACAGATACCTTCAATACATGTTACAGTAGATCACTATAGGCCTAGAGTACATACTATGATACTATCAGTCCTATGAGGCGTCACACACCAATAACTGTCCTAACATGGCTAAAATATTCCTCTCTTTCGATTATAAATAATGTTCTGGTTCCACCATAAAAGTGAGGTGCAACAAAGCACATGGAAGCCACAACCCACAGGTTTTTAGTAATTGGTCCTGGGCATTGCTCCAACTTCAACACGCAGAAGGCAAACTGAATGGTAAAACGGAATTCATAGACTTGCCTTACAGGGTTATTATAATTTTAAGCAAAATAAAATGAAACAAACGTCTTTCTAGTCCAGCCATTATTGTAGTGTGTTAAGGAACTTAAGCACCTTGGAGAGCCAAACCCCAAAAGCTAGCTGTTAAGGCGGGAGAACCGGGCAGTTAAGAACCACACCAAGCATCTCATTCTAGTCGGTGTGAGACTTTTGGTATCCCATACTACCTGTCCCTAACAATACACCCTTCCTGGAAAGCCGACGTCCTGGCGGCTACACTCCGCGAAACTTCAACCGGCAGTATTTTACTCAGCCGATCCGCCGGTCAGAACCCTCCACCGGTAGCCCCTTTTTGGCCCGCCGACAAGCGGCTCTAATACCATTGTTAGGAACTTCAGCACCTTGGAGAGCCACACCTCAAAAGCTAGCTGTTAAGCTGGGAGAACCAGGCACTTAAGAACCCCACCAAGCATCCCATTCTACTCGGTGTGGGACTTCTGGTATCCCATACTACCTAGGTCCCTAACAGTGTCATATGAAAGTCAGTGCCAAGGCGAAAAATATCAAAAGATCAACCCTAAATATAAAACCAATGGCTATAGAACTACATCTAAGCTTTACATTTTACCATTTAGTAGCATTGGATGGACAACTGCTCAGGCTCTAGAATGAAAATCCTGCACTATCTTGTCCTATGAGCAGTTTTGGGCCTGTCTACTCCCTTTATCAAGAGAGTTTAAGATTGTCCAAACAAAAACAAATAATTAAAGCAGTACCAACAGGTTACTTTTTTGATACCTCTAATCTTTTTCTTGACATTATCCAAACAGAAGTAGATTAATGTGATAATTATGCAGTGAAGAAAACCCTATTGATTGTTTCTTACTTTCTTTTTAAATTCAAGAGATGAAACTAAACACACAACATACCACATTGGGTCTTTAAATAAAAAAGAATATTTTTTATTTAAACCATTAACGAACACACATCCACTCGATATAGAGTTAATACTTGAAATAAATAATTCAAACTGAGTCGAGAGTCTTACTGATTGTAATTAAGGTAATGGAGGATTTCTGAACAAAACATATGTTTATTTTCTTCAATGGTTTACAACTCTTAAATTATCTTTGTTATTAGTGCATAGGGAAAATATAGTTAAACTTAGCATTCATCATCATCATTACCCCCAATGCCGCAAAGGCTCCCACCTACGATGGGGTAAGGATAGTTAAACTTAACATTGTTGTCTTATATTTGTTCAACATTAAGTTTGCTACAAAGATGCTTAGCTCGGAGATAAGCTTTAATAAAGATAATACAGTGATGCTGTTATTGATTACTAAGGGAGATAGATGCTGAATGTTTACATTTCATTGTTTCCATTGTTTTGTTTCCCCAGGTCATTCTGTTACTGATTTTATTTCAAATACCACTTCAAGAATATCTTTTTAAACTTCTATGCATAGTTCCTTCATGCACGTATCACAAGAGAAGTTGAATAGCAGAAAAGCTAAAACTTGCAAGTGAATAACAAATGGAAATTGAACCAACTCTTTTCGCATGAACAATTGAACACCACATCTCCTCAGTTTCTTTAGCATGTTACGAATCCTGCACAACATGTATGTATTCAAAACTTTGATAATTTAGCTCTTCATTGCTGAAGTATAGAAATAGTAGCATCATAATTTCTTATTCCTATTAGACGATTCCTATTCCTACAGGTTTAGGTCCACTACTTTTCTATATAAGCATTGTAATAATCTAGAAATTCTCAAGTTGTAAGTAAAAAGTCATATCAGACTGCAAGCATACCTCCAGCATTGCTTTAGCTTCATGATGAAATGTTTTACAGAGAATTTCATAACTTGTCTGCAGTCCTAACTGCAATATCAGTGGTCAATATGGTAGTACATTTTGTTCATATTATCTGAATAAAAGTGAAACCTAAAATGAAGCACTGAACTAGTATAAACAGCATACCCCCAGATATCTGGATGGTGAAATAGAAGACACGGAGTACCTGCACAGAGTTAAAAAAACAATAAATACATGGAGCAATACCAATAGGAAAGAACTTAATGGCAATAGGATTAAGTGATAGTGAGTCATTCTTCAATATGCAGGAATCTAAAGTGTAACAGCCTAGTTTTTGTTATGACTCGGGGTTTCTATCCTAAAAGGTCAGCTTAATAGGAGAAATAGCCCAAAGTGTTATATAATGTTATATTGTCTTATAACTTTCTGGTGTCGAACCGGGCTAAACAATATCAGTATGTATAAATGGGCCAAATAGACCCTTAACAAGTTACCCTTAATTATGGTATAGCAATTGTATTACATATAAAGTACTATTAACTTTACTATAATGTTTATACTAGGTACTGCAGCCTTCTCAATTCTCAAGGCATAAGAAAAGGTGAATAACCACATTCTTCATCATACTAATGCGTAATTTGGTATATATAATATATGTAATAACAGTGTAATAGTAAGAAAGAATGTACCCAAGTTTACTAGTATAAAATTTCATAGCGACAACATTTGCCTTTTGAACAGTCAGAACCACCGCACCCATTTTACTCTGCAAATCATGAAAACTTTTGTTGGCATTAAGCAAGATTTTTGTGGTGCAACGTAGAGCCCATCTAAAATGAGCACATATCAAGGCAAATGTATTAAAAGAATCACAGTAACCTAATGAAAAATTAAAAGAAAACGCTTCATAAAAAGCTTGCATTTTAAAATTTGTTCTTTACATATAAACAATTAAAAAAATGACTAACCACCTTGCTACCAATAAGCTCCATTAGTTGCATCAAGTATTCCCCTAGGCCCTTTCCCTGAACGCGTTGCTCAAGCTGCAACTCATAAACATAAAGAACAGGGATCTCTTCTTCTATGGTGAAGCGATAATGTACAAATCCAACTACTTGGCACTTATCATCCGCTGTCTTAACTTCATCACTGTCCTGGTAACCCACTGCAGGAATTCCACTAGGATTAGCACTTGGAATCTCATACACAAAAATGTAGCGTGCTTCTGGTGCAACCATTTCCTTGCGCTTGACCTTCTCTTCCGTTGGCCATTCAGATCCATATGGTCCCCGCATATTTTCCTGTAAAAGTTGCATTTTGCAAATGAAAAGTGAAATATGACAGGATAGCTCATACCCTCATTTGTTCAAGTTCACTTACCTTGAGGAGGCCTTGGATATAGTGCTTCATTTGAGAAGAAAGTTTATTCCCACGTCCAGATTCCATGTATACCGACAAACCTGGGAAGTGGGAACAGAAGTAATAATTCCGAATAACTCGGCTTTGAGTTACACTGCCATGGAAGATTAGAGTTCAAACCAAAGTTGACTGGGAAAAGGATGAAAATGTAATGACAAAATGAAATCCGCCGCGTCAATGCTTAGCGGGGAGTTACTTACCGTTTCTGTGGTAATGAATAAATGTCGGAAAGCATGAGAGATGGTCATTGACAGAAGAAGCAGCTTTGATGATCTCTTCCACTAGCTTCTTCTTTTCCAGCATCTGACTCGTAAAGCATCGAAATGGATTTGACGTTTCATCATATGAATGTGCCGCAAGATTCAGAAGGAAGGGAAAAACCTACCTCTTTTCGGTTCATTTTCTTAAACCGGTTGCCATGAACTTTCTCGGCCTCCATTGTTGTATCCCTTGCAGCAGGAATTCTAAAGGAATACCAATACCCTTTTCAAACTCGTATTAGGGAGTGTTTGCAATTGCTTCTGCTTAAAAAAAAGCACTTTTGGAGAAGTAAGGAAAAAGTGATTGGTAGTAAAAGTTGATAGTGTTTGAGAAAAAAGTGATTTTGAAAAGTAAAAGTTGGTAGTGTTTGGTAAAATAAGTGCTTTTTGTGTAATAGAAAAGGGAAAAGCACTTTTCGCACGCAAGCCGAGAAAAAGTAAAAATTGGTAGTGTTTGGTAAATAAGTGCTTTTTAAAGCCAAAAGCTGAGAAGTGCTTTTTTTTAAGCAGTTGCAAACACTCCCTTAGCAAATTGCGGGCTGAAAGGGATTTCATTTTTATGGTTTCAATTCAAAGTGGACAATGTATAGATTGAACAAATATAAAAATTGTTCTATTTTTAGAAACAAATATAAGTTCAAGTATATGTATGTGTATATGTGAAAGTGCATATATACCCTTATACTTTTTAAAAGGTGCAAAAATATCTTTTATGTTCTTTAAAAAGAGTAAATATATACTTGTTGACTTAGTTTAATAAATTTCAAAAGAACACCAAAAATAAATTTTAAATTCAAAATAAAAATAAAAAAATGTACTTGTGTTTGATTCTTCCTTTTATTGTTTGTTTGTGAGAACTTAATATTGTTAGTATAAAATATTATTTCAAAAATCTACTTTGTATTTAAGATTCTTTCGAAAAAAGTGTTAATAACATATGTGTTGCAATGTAAGAAAAGATTGATTTTTTGCATCTTTGCACTATAAATTTATATATTTTGTATCATGATAAATAGTCCAAGATGATAAAATAGTAATTTTAATTTTATTAATGTTAAAAAACAAAGAATGTTATTTCAAAAAATATAACAATGTATTCAAAATTTCACAACAAGACTAAAATTAATATTCATGAGTTTGAAGTGCTTCATTAACAACAGAAATATAATAATTTTTCTATTTAAAATTAAAGTGTTAATATTTTAACATAATACTTCTTTATTTTTAAATTTTGAATTTATATCTTATTTTTTTGTGTTTTTTGAAATTTATTTTATCTATTTATAGTCAATAAGAGTAAATTTGCTTCTTCATAAGAACATGAGGGGTATTTATGAACTTTTTAAAAGTGTGGGAGTATATATGCACTTCAACATAAACTTCAGGTGCATATTTGTTCTGGAAAATAGAACATGGTATATTTGTTCTCACAACCATAATACAGGGGTATATATTTGTACATTTTCCCTTTTATGAGAACTGATGTCGTACTAAACCGATACAGTACTAAACCGGGTCGATGTATGATTTAAACGTACATGTACATTGTTGTGTTAAATAATGTTTTTGGATTTCTGTTTTCCACATAAAAAAATTACATCTCAAATTCAGTTGCTATGAACTTTCGAGTAAGTAATGCAACCTCTTCAAAAATGAGCACAATCTTGTTCAAAGTCAATAACATAATTCTCACAACATTTCATCACACCATTTGTTGTTGAGTCCGGCCTCCACATTATCTACAAATGTTATCTCACTCACCTCAACATTTAGCATAGTAGAATCTACTTCTTTATCTCTAATAAATACAAAAAGTGCTTTTCTACTACTCAATGTATAAGGTCAAATAGTTTTCCCAAACCGTCACATTTGAAATGAGATTTTCAACGAATGAATACCCTATTTATAACTAGTTTCCTCGTACAAGCATTCAAAAAAATGAATCAAAGTCTGAACTAGATGCATCACGATCGAAAGCAATAATTTTTTTACCTCCTTCAAACAGTTAGTCATAATTCTCGTTTTTTTCATTTCAACATATATCAACGTGGTCAAAACGTGTAGTCATGTGTAAATATAAAAAATAGGGAAAATGGAAACTAATAATCCAACTTTTTAGCGGTCTTCTTACAATAATCCAACCTTTTGGTTATTCATGAATAATCCAACATTTGCACCTCATCTTCATTCACTGGTCTCTGACCGGTTGATGACCTGCTATTCCAAGCTATTTTCTTATCTTTGCAAATCATTATACCATAAATCTCATCTTTCACAAAGATAATATTTTGAAAAGATAAGAAAATAACTTGGAATAGTATGTCGTTAACCGACTAGGGACCAATGAATGAAGATGGGGTGCAAAGGTTAGATTATTCATGAATAATCAAAAGGTGGGATTATTGAAAAAAGATCGCTAAAAGGTTGGATTATTAGTTTCCATTTTCCCTAAAAAAATATTAAATTGCCGGAGGTAGTCAAACAAGCTATCAAACATGTAAAAAAAAGTAGGCTACGGACAAACCTGGTCAAAGACAGTCAAGCATGGTCAAACTACCAAACATGGCCAAACAAGAAGCGATCAAACCTGTCAAAATGTTCAAAATGGTCAAACCCGGCCGGGGTCAAATCTATCAAACATGCCCAACCAAGACTTACAAGTAGGGAGAGATTTAAGGGGGGCGCGGGTGGCGACCGCCTCTTTGAACTTTCAAAATTTTCTACTGTAGTATTTTTATACTTTAATTAGATGTATATGTTTTTGCCCCCTTGACATTTAGTTTTCAAAGTTAATATATAGTCTTACATAGCGTAATACTTAATTGGGAATATAAAGGAAGTAAAATCTAAAATAATTTAGATAGTTTAAGACCTAGGATGCCTATTATTACAAATTTCTAGCTTTGTAATGTTTAATTATATTTATTATATAATTAGTACTAAATTTTGTAAAAGAACAAACGATATCAAATACCAACCACACTAGTTAAACAATTTTTAGATCATGCGAAGTGAATCCAAAATATAAATGTTTGTTGACATTAAATTATACAATTCATTCAGTTCTTACTTTCTGAAATCAACTTATTGCGTAAATAATAAACTTTAACGTATTTTAGCATTAATACAAATATAATATGCACCATATATACGAATTAACAATACTATGTATAATGTAATTCTAAAAATAATAATCTCATGCATACTATTTTAATATTAAGAAAACTTCTCATGACTTATGAACACCCTACTTGATAGACAAAAACTACAATTTAAAAACCAATTCTTTATTCAGATAAGATTCATGTGGTTAAACAATACATAAGTTATTTAAAATGCATTGATTGATGTTATCTTTTAAAGTTTTACCTTCAAATAAATTGAGAAAATGTTATATATCCTTTTTTATTTTCAAATAAATTTCCTTAGATTTGCAATTTATTATGCTTTGATGTATCCATACTTTTTTCAAGAGCATTTACGGTTATAAAATTTAAAGTTATTTTTCAATTGTCTAAACTTAAAATATAATAGATTTATATGTCATAGTGTATGTACTAATGAATTATTTTGAATAAAAATTAGTCATGGAGCCCTATAATAGTGAAAAAATTTGTCCCATTGCACTAGCGAAAAAAATTGCCCCACTACATTAGCGAAAAAAAACTTGTCCCGCTACACTAGCGAAAAAATTTCGCCTCCCACACAAACGAAAAAAATTTCGCCCCCCTTGACTCGAAATCTTGGATCTGTCCCTGCGCACAAGTACTATTGGATCCGTCCCTACGCACAAGTACTACCATGATTTTCGTTGCTTTAAAAAAAACGGAATCAAGGGTGATCCATTACAGAGCTTTTATACTAAGTAAATGTGATGAGATAAATAGTTAAAGATATGTTAACTTACTTTGAGAAAGAGAATGCTTACAATGGAGATGTTGAATAAGAAGACATCGTAGTTTGAATGTTTCTTATTTATGAAGGGCATGCGTTAGAGATTACTTTCAACGTCTGCTAGCTCGAAGGCTTAAGAGAGGGTATACACTAGACTTTTGGGAGAACATCCATGGAAGATAAGAAAATGCTTAATTTATGAAGGATATCCCTAATAATAGTACACTTTTTTAGGGTACTTTGATATTAAAGAGGTATTTTAAAATTGGGAAAATGGAAACTAATAATCCAACCTTTCATCAGTCTTCTTACAATAGTCCCACTTTTTCATTTTTCAAGAATAATCCAACCTTTGCACCTCATCTTCATTTGTTGGTCCCTGACCGGTTAGTGACCTGCTATTTCAAGTTATTTTCTTATCTTTGCAAAATATTATCTTTGTGAAAGGTGAGATTTATGGTATAAAGGTTTGCAAAGATAAGAAAATAACTTGGAATAATAGGTCATCAACCGGTCAGAGACCAATGATTGAAGATGAGGTGCAAAGGTTGGATTATTCATGAATAACGAAAAGGTGGGACTATTGTAAGAAGACCGCTGAAAGGTTGGATTATTAGTTTCCATTTTCTCTTTAAAATTTTGTTCCTTCCAGCAAGATCACCTAATACGGCGTGATGCTTCTTATTTTCCCACGCCCAAATTACCTCATTTGGATAAAAGCAAAAGCTTACATATTGAGAACTTAAAAGAGCCTACTCTTATATACCCTATTGGGTTAATGGCCCAGCCAAAAGGTAGGCCCATTATCCCCTTACAAGGATTGTTGAGCCCCAACTGGAGGAGGTCTAGGACGCTCGACCTCAGAGTACGTGGCGCACTAGGGGCAGTTGGCTGTAATGGACCAAGATGTGAAGAGACGTTTGTCTTGTATTGCGAGACAGTTGGCCTCGGGCCCTCAGGGGCCCTAGCCCACTAAGTGTCCAATGGCAGCCTAGCACCCATAACCAAAGGACTTGCGCACGGAGTATAGCCCTTGCATCATCAAGGTGAAAGGTCTGAGATCCTGAGGACACTCGTCCATAGACCTTGGCGGGAAATCAAGATATTGGCTGGAGGCGCATCTAATGCGGAAGATTTGGTGGTTGGGGACATGGCCATCTACAACCCTCCATGGCTCCATGTCAGCGAATCTACCTACCCATTGATAGTATAAATAGTAGCATTTGTTTCGTTGTAAAAGGTTGACAACTTATTCTTCCTACCATTTAGCAATTATCTTAGCTCTTCTGTACTGATATAGACGAACGGCCTCAGGCGGGTAGTTGAAATG